ACTACCTGAGTTCAACATCCTAAACTCACATACTAGAAGGAAAGAACTAACTATTGTAAGTTGTCTTCTGACCTCCACATACATGCTATGGTGCACACACAAACACAAAAAGTAACCAACCAACCTGAGGAATGCTGATGCCACTGTGTCCATATTCTCCTCTATCCAACACCTCCAACTCCACTTGCCAGTCCTCTGTAATGAGACCAGTATTTGGATCAAGCGCAGTGGGGCCAGGAAGTTCTAGTCTTGTGCCTTGTATTTCTGAGGGCACTGATAAAGCTGGATACCATCCGTCAGGCAGCGTTATCTTACAGAGTGCTCCGAGCCAGCCTATGGAACAAACACAGGAAAATCCCCAATACAAGATCCACACGGACCCAGAATCCAAAGTGTCTTGAAAAACCTTCAGATTTCAGATCAATTTCCAGTTTTAAGCTTTCAGATTAGGATTGTCCAATCAACAATTCCATGTCAATCTTTCCCAAATCCAGAAAATTCCAAAGTATGAGACACTTCTGAAGCCATTAGATAAATGGATCTCATTCAGTTATGGAACAAATTGTTTGAATCTGCAATGTCTCCCAGAAGTTCCTGTTTTGAGCACTTATTTCCCTAGCTGGTGGTGCTATTTGAGAAGGCTATGGAACTTTAAGGAAGCCCAGCCTTCCTGGCAGAAAGGGATAATTAGGAGTGGCCCTTAAGGTTATAGCCCAGACATGGTTCTGGCCACTCTGTTTTCCCTGGTCAGCCATGACATGGGCAGCCACTGCCACACACTCCCACTGCCATGGACTGAGCCACTCCACCATGCTTTCCCTGCTGTGATACACTGCAGAGCTCTGAAGTGAGCCAAAATAAACTTCTCGTCCCTTGTTTCTGTCAGGGATTGTATCACAGCAGCAAGAAACTAAGGGGCTGGTGAGATGGTTCAGTGTGTGTGCTGGCTAGTTTTGTGTCAACTTGAAACAAGAAAGAGTGATCTGAGGGCAGGGAGTCTCAACTGAGAAAATGCCTCCAGAAGACTGAGCTGTACCCAAAACTGCAGGGCATTTTCTAAAGCAGTGATTGATGTGGGAGAGCCCAGTCCAATGTAGACAGTGCCACCCCTGGACTAGTGGACCGAGGGTCTGTAAGAAAATAGGCTGAGTCAGGCTGCAGAAATGGAACAGCAGTTTAAAGCACTGGTTGTTCATCCAGAGCTTCTGAGTTCAATTCCCAGCAACCACATGGTGGCTCACAACCATCCGTAATGGGATCTGATTCCTTCTTCTGGCATGTGTTAAGAGAAAGCACTCAAGCCAGACACGGTGGTACAAGCCTTTAATCCCAGCACTCTGGGAGGCAAAGGCAGAAGAATCCCTTCAAGTTTGAGGCCAGCCTGGTCTACAGACTGAGTCTAGGACAGCCAAGGCTACACAAGAAACCCTGTCTCAAAATATAAAACACAAAAGAGAGAGAGAAAGAACTCACATACATAAAATACATAATTTTTTAAGAGGCTGAGCAACAATGTACACCACTCCTTAATGGTCTCTGCATCAGCTCCTCCTTCTGTCCCAGTCTTGGCTTCCATCAATGGAATGTGACTCAGGATACTTTAGAGTAATAAATCCTTTTCTCCCCAAGTTGTTTTTGGTCATGGTGTTCCATCACAGCGTAGAAACCCTAACTAAGAGCAGGTCAATCAGTTCCTGTCAGAGACAGTCCCTGTCCCCATTACTATGGAACCCATGGACACTGAACTGCCATAGGCTACCTCTGTGCAGGGGTTCCAGGCCATCTCCATGAGCGGCCTCCATGATACTCCATACTTGGCTGGAGTATCAGACTAGGATCAGAGGGAAGGGGAGGAGGACCTCCCTTATCAGTGGACTGAGGGAGGGGTATGGGTGGGGAAGAAGGAAGTAGGATGAGATTGGGTGGGGAGGAAGAAGGGAGCTACAGGGGGGATACAAAGTGAATAAACTGTAATTAATAAAAATAAAAATAATTTTAAAAAAGAAATAAAATGCATGGGAAGAAAAAAAAAAAAAAGAAACCCTAACCAAAATAGTGGGTAAATGTGCTTGCTGCCAAGCCTGATGACAGAAGTTCCATTTCAGGGACACACAATAGTGAAGGGAGAGAATGGACTCCTACAGCTGTCCTTAGACCTTCACACATGTGCTGTGGCACACACATGCCAACAGATATAATAACTGTGAAAGAAAATAACTAATCCAAGTCGTGTTCTGATTCTCAGATACTCGGGTGTTTAATAACTAAAGCTTATTCTTGAGTTTCTATATAAAAATGTTCTTCAGTCTTCAATATGACATCCTCAAGGTCTTAAGGAAGCAAACAAAAGGCACTTGTACAAATGTAGCAAGATGCTAGCTCTAGAAGCATACTGGCACTGACTGGAGTATATATGTGCCAGCAAACACATGCCACAGCATGTGTGGGGAAGTCAGAGGTCAACGCTCTGAAGTCTGCCCTCCTCTGTCAGGGTAGAATTTGGTGACATAATTCAGGCAGGCAGATTTGGGTAGCAGACACCTTTACCTGCTGAGCAATCTCATCAATCCTACTTCACGGTTTCCAAAGTAAGTTGCTAGAGGTGGGTGAAGTCACCAGCATGTCACCGAACCTCAAATTCTCACAGTACTTTCAGATTCACTATGGAAAAATATATGCATATTCATGATCCAAAATTTACCATTCATTGCTATAAAAAAATGGGTCATTTCAACACATGAATTTTTTAAATAAGCAAAAAGTTTCCCTTCCCATTTGTAAAAGCTTCAAATATATTTGTTGTTGTTGTTTTTTTTTTCTGTATAGATTGGGTTGTTTACTTATATTTCTACAACCATCCTAAAAACTGTGACTATCTAAGCTGTAAGTGTATCCCACTATATCTGTTATATAATACCTCGCCTGACAACATCCTTTAAAAATACAGATTCTGGGGGCTGGATTATTAGTTCAAGGATCAAGAGCACTTGTTTTTCCAGACGTTCCAACACACACACACACACACACACACACACACACACACACACACACACTTTTTGAAAATTTTTTTAAACATATAAATTATTGGGGCTGGAGAAGTCTCAACAGTTAAGAGCACTGGCTGCTCTTCCAGAGGAGCCGGATTCATTGCCCAGCACCCACACCAGTCTTTAACTCCAGTTTCAGGGTTTCTGACATATCACACAGACATACATGCAGGCAAAACAGGAATAAACATAAAATAAAAATAATTTAAAAATAGAAAGAGATTCTGGGGACCCTTCTGCTAGGTAACTCTCCTAAAAAGATTCCTAGGAATTTTTGAAACTTTTCATGTCTCCTTTTTCAGACAGGGTCTCGAAGTCTATACTAAGAGGGCTTCAAACTCTCTATCCTCTTGCCTCAGCCTCTTGAGTGTTGGGATTATTGGTGTGCATTCTATCACCCATGTGATAAATTTAACTCACCAAATAAAATAGCACATATTTCATTTTCTTAGTCTACTGCTGACAAATATTGTTCCAAGTACTTTGCTATCATAAACAATAATAACAAAAATTCTAATAGGTATCTCTCTTTATATACTATTAGGGGATGATAAAGTGTGCATGACTCCTACTTAAAAAGCAAAGATTTTAGTAAGGAGGCAACTGTGGTTTCACTGTTGCTCTGAGGAACTCACCACCCTGCTGTAATCTGAGAATCACAGGGAACACTGGCAGATACCCAAAGCTACACTAGAAAAGAGTCCATTAAGAGACTCCTAATAATTGAGTTAGCAAGAAGGCTGGCTGGGTCTGTGTCCCAGATCTATAATCATGAAAGTCACTTTTTGTCTTATATCATAATGATAGAACTAATGTTCTGAGTCTCAAGAATGCTTTCTGGGTTGGATACAGTAAATTGCAATGCTACAGAAGCTGAGACAGGAATATCACACTTTCAAGCTCAGCCTAGGCTACAGAGCAAGAATCTGAGCTACACACGGAGAGTTTGTCTTCAGAGTGAAAAAATAAATTTAAAAAGATGTTCTGAGACCACCAAAGCCAGCTGTAATGGGCATAGTAAAGAATGCCAATTAGACATGTAAAAATAGCTTAGTCAGGGAACCCCACGACAACCAAGGCTGCACCTGATAAATAGAACCCTGTGACATCACCCCCTCAAGATAAACAGACAGGTCCTAGAACCTCATGACGCCCACTGGTCAATATATACGCAGAGACCAAGAGCAATGCTCTCTGCTCTGCACATCTGGAGAGTTTCCCCCAGGGTCCCGACCCTCGAATCAAAAATTTCTGTTAGAGACTGGACCTGACTGTCAGCTAACATAGGTCACACAGGTGAGAAGCCTTGGAGAGATAGCCTGAGGACTGTAGTTAGGAAGTTAGGATGTGAACCTTGTGCACAAAAAAATAGACCTTTTATTATATTAACTGCACTAACTAAACATATCTACCTTCTTGCCCGTGACACCAGCTAAACCTACTTTTTTTTTTTTAACTCCATAGGAAAGAGACCCTTAAGCAAGGTCATAAAAGTACTTAGTAGCAGAAATACAACTAAATCCCTGGCCACCATTACAAAATGTGACTGGTAATCTCAGGAGTGAATTCTAGGCCACCCAGGACCACCCAGTGAGCCTCTTCCTCAAAAACTAAGGGGGGAGGAATAAAAGAAAAGGAAGAAAGGGGGATGGGAGCAAATGACTTCACTACAGCCGTTACCTGCAGTACCCCGGCCCACTAGTGCCCTCCCTAGTCCCCAATCTCCTCTCTATGCAGTATCACCTCGCTATAATTCATTAATCCTGACCAGCAACCCGACTGCTCCAGACAGAGAGAGTCGCAAACTGAAGAGGCCACAAAAAAAAAAGAAAAGAAAAGAACATAGACTCCACCCGTCACAGCACGGGCCTGAACAGCCCGCCCCTCTCTCTGCCGCAGCGGTCCCCCAAGGCGCATGTGCTGCTAGAGAAGGACGCCCGTCGATGACGTCACGCGAGGCGCCATATCCGAAATCTGGTCGCAGTCCCATGGTACGGGCTGGAGCAAGTCTGTGTACTGTGTACTGTACGTGTGGACGTTGTTTCTTGGCCACAACGGATTTTTCCAGAGGAGATTTAAACAAGAGAGAGTCCTAGTGGATGAAAGTTGATGAACAAAGCGAAAAAAAGGAATGAGTGAGTGAGGCCTGAAAGAGACGTCATCAGAGCATCCCGGAAGCGGTCCGACAATGAAAGGTAAATGGCAGGAGAGACACGGAGTTGGGCCGGGTTGAGAGTCTAGAGGGACGGGAACTGGAAGCTGTTTTGTGAAATGAATCAGGGATACCTGTCACAACAGAGTACCAAGAAAACTTCCAGGGAGTTGGCTCACAGTACACAAAGAAATGAAGGCCCAGAGTGTGAATCGGCAGACTCAATCTCTAAGCTGGGAATAGATGTCAGGCTCCAGTGTGTGTTCTCCCCAGGCTCCTCTCAGGGAAACTAGCAGAGGTGGATCCGAGGCCTTCGCCAATAACTGCTGTCAAGGACCTGCTCCCCTCTACTAGCTGGCTTTTCACTCTTACCTGTAAAAATCTGGTGAGGCACAGTATCACAGACCTAACGCATTGGTATTTGAGCGGAAAAGAGATGTGCCAGGAAGGGAAAGCAAGCACTGGAGCAGTATTAGAGGAGAGAAACGATATGGTAAAGATTAAGCCTCTGATCTGGTGACTTACAACCCTGTCATGCCTTTTAATCAAAGATCAAGTGCCTTGGCATATTTCAACTTCAACTTTATTATGTGCATAACTAGGAATAACTACTGTTTAAAATTGCTTAGAAAGATTAACGACATTAAAACAAATATGTATACACATGTAGGAGAGTGTATATGTGTCATTTTAAATCATCTTCTTGGCAAGCAATGAGTGTTCCGTAGCTATTACATGTGTATGGTTGCAGAAAGACTTTCGGCTCTGATGCTGAAAGTCTGGGGCATCTGGGGTCAGTAAAATGAAGTTGTTTCTGGGGTTCCAGGCCCTGCACATTTTTCTCAATAAACAATGCACAGTCTCAATGTGCAGTTCAAGGGAAAACTAGATTCTGTATATAAAACTGGTAACTACCTTGCTTTGTTTTCTTGGTCAAACATGTACTCAGAGAAGCACAAGAGAACAGAGATGGGCTTCTTGTTTGTTATTTTTGCTGTTGGGATAAGGTCACTTTTGTCGTCCTTACTGGCCTGGGACTCACTATATAAGCCAGGCTGGCCTCTGCCTCTCAAGTGGTGGAATCAACTGTGTGTGCCACCACACCCAGCTCAGAGATGAAATGAATAGGGCGTTGTGTGAAGTACATTTTCTGGTCATTTGCCCTTTGTTCTCCCATTTGCTCCTGGAGTCTGTCCCCCAGTGCCACCATGACGGTTTCCTCTAAACAAATAAGAAAAGGAGCATGGAGGTGTTGAGAGGTTTCAGCGTCACTATGATCATATTTAGAGTTTATGTATACTTAGACTATTGTATTTTATCTGGTCAGGATACACATCAAATTTATGGATTCTGAAATGTGAGAAATCTGTTTTAAACCTCTTGTAGCCAGCAAAAGTTAGTGTTGGCCTTCTAATATCACTTCACTTTTAGTGTCTTCACTAAACTTACTAAGCAACTGCCCAATCATAATTATAACTTGTGGGTGTTTTAAATCAGAACAACTCTAACTGTGATCCAGTGAGGAAATTTTTAGACATGCAGGGTCTGAGTAGGAAACAAAATCCCATGTTTTAGGTAAGATCTTAGTAATTGTAAAACATGTTAAGCTTTGAGGGGTGTTCTTTTTTTTTTTTTTTCTTTAATTAATTAATTTATTTATATCCTGATCTCAACTTCCCCTCCCTCCTATTCTCCCAGTCTCTCTCCTTCCATCCCGCATTTTTCCTTTCCTTTCTCCTCAGAAAAGGGGAGGCCTCCCCGGATATCAACCCCTCCTTGGCTTATCAAGCTGTAGTAGGACCAGGTGCGTCTTGTTCTGTCGAGGCTAGACAAAGCAGCCAGTTAGGGTAAAGGTATCTAAAAGCAGGTAGCAGAGTCAAAGACAGGCCCTGTTCCTGCTGTTAGAGATCCCATATGAAGGCCAAGCTGCAGATCTGTTACATATGTGTAAGGGCCTAGGTCCATCTCATACATGCTGTCTGATTGGTGGTTCAGTGTCTGAGAGCCCCAGTGGGCCCAGGTTATTTGATTCTGTAGGTTAGTTAATTCTCATGGTGCCCTTGGCCTCTTATAGAGTGTTCTTTTTAAACCTGGGAAATTCTAGGACAAACCTGGCCAGAGAAAAGAATAAAAGTATCTAAGATAGGTGTGGTAGGACATGTATATAATCCCAGCAACTGGCACTTGGGAGCCTGAAACAGGACTGTTGTGGGTTTGAGGCTACTGTAGGAAACACAGTGAGTTCTAAGCCAGCTTAGGATACAGAGTGAGACCTAGTCTGTAAATAAATAAATAAATAAATAAATGGCAGTATCCAAGAGGGCTGGGGTATGGACCCATGGTGAAGCACTTGCCTGACATTTAAACCCCACTGAAGTTAATCTTCCAGTTCTACAGAATAAAACAAAAGGTTCATCCAGGAAAGCTCTGCTCTTTCTTACTAACCTAGTCTTATTTCTCTGAGTAAATGTAGTTCTTACCATTGTTAGAAATGCTTGGATATTATACTCACTCTTAACAGGAAGTAGTCATTTCTTCTGTTTTTGTGTTTCACTCCTCAGCTGTGATCTACCGTGCCTTTTCTCATAAAGAAGCCGAAGAGCATGATGTGCAGGTACTGTGTTTAGGGTGGGCTGGGAGCAGTAGAGATGATGGCAAAGGTCACTCTCAGTGTCTTCTAACATTGGTCTAGCTGTCCTTTCCCATGGATTACTCCTCATCTTCACAGTCAGTATACTCGGCCCCATCAAGGTCTCTTGTACTAATGTCTTCATAGGCTCAGCTCCTTTCTTAGGGTACCAGTATCAGCTCTGAAGGACTTGGACTCCTTGATTTCATGTCATCTCCCACTCTGTGGGGAATGACAGCCTGTGCCCACCTGAAACCTGTTTGATCTTGCTACTGTATCCTGTTCAGTGCTTAGTCCATTTCATAAGTGGATGTTACAAATTCTACATGGATGTTTCAGCATGCTTTGTTTCATGGTCGGAGCTTTACCTGTGGCTCATAAAAAGAACATATTCTTGAAATCCAGGTTTTAAAAAACCAGTAAACCTTTAATTTTACTTCGCCATGAAAGAGAGACCACATATGTATTTAAAAGAGCCAAATTGCCCTGATATCAGTGATGGATTGTTTAGCCATCCAAGCCTTGAACTGCCTCGAAGATTGTATTTTTTACTCCCTTGCTTTAGCACAGACAGGGATGTATTAGTCACTACTGATATATTAACCTAAGTCTGGCAGTTAGCTTCAGACTTGGGTTTGCTGTCTGGATTATGCAAAAAGAGCCCAGAAAATGGCCAGGCCAAGAGGTAGGTCCTCAGAAAAGGGTTGCAGCAGGTGAAGACAAGTGGGGTACTTGTTGTCCAGTGAGGAATAGACTGTTGCTGCCCCAACTTGAGAGGTGGTGAAACTAGAGTGTCCTTAGACACATTAGTTTCACCCAATATACCCTAGGAATCCATGTAACTTGGTATTGCTGTATCCTGTTGTTGAGAGTGATGAGCATGCTTGCATTGGCAGCACATATACTAAGAACTGGAATGAGAATGATTAGCACCCAAGATGCCATCCCATTTTTAGCCTGCAAGTAGGGCTGGAGCAGACCTCTGCAAAAGCAGCCGCACAAGAGTTCACAGGGCTAAAAAGGAAGGAAGTAGGACTCTGATGCTCAGTGTCAGAATTCCTCCTCAAAATACTTGACCTTTCTGGAACCCCTAGACAGTTTTCCCTAGAGCTGGAATGGCTCATTTCCTTAACAACCCCATACCCCTTCCACATTAAGCTGGCCTTGTGGTTATTACTGATTAAATAACCTGTATCATCCATTTCTCAAGCTTCCTTCCCCATGAGGATTAGAGAAATCTTGCCTTATAAAGGATTTAGAATCCTCAGTAGAGTAACCTCAAAGAAGCATGTCAGGAAGTCAATGTTTGCCCTCGCTGCAGTGTGGAACAGTGGCACAATTAGCATATGAGTGTTTCTTTTACATCTTGGAAGTTTGTGAAGCAAACACTAGGCAGAGAAAAAATTTGTGCACCTCAGTGGATAAACAGATGGGTCAGCAAGGATAGCAGCTCTCAGGAATGGGTTATAAGGGCCCTGGCTTCTGAGAACAGAACCATGAACCACACAATCATGTCTCTGAGCAGGACATGGGAACCCAGCGGGCTGAGGCTTTTGTACAGGCCTTCCTGAAACGGAGCATACCACACTTGAGCCAACAAGACTGTGAGAGCCATCTGCAACGCAAGGCTGTGATCTTGGAATACTTCACTCGCCAGAAGCTAAGGCAGAAGAAGAAATCCAAAGGCCTCTCTGCCAAACAGAGGAGAGACTTGCGGCTCTTTGACATTAAACCAGAGCAACAGAGGTACTCCCTTCTTTCCTAAAGGCCTTGCTACCTACCATTGCCTAGGCTTCCTGGTCAGATTGTGGACTGGGGAGCCCAGGGCCTCACTGGACAGCCCTGCCCGTTTGTCTCGGCTTTTCTGCGTTCTGCCACAAGGGGGCAGCCTCCTCCTGCCAATTTCCTTTGCCTGGGTTTGGCTTTTAATAGGCAGACAGACTTTAGTGAGAATGAGGCCTCTCGTCATTTCCTTCTGTCCTAGCCTCACTAATAAGTGAGTAATAAGTGAGTCTGTTGCCCATAAGAACAGGCTGTTTGTCTTTCAGCTTTCTAGAAAAGAAAAACTGATATTCCTTAGTGTGTGTTTTCCTATAGCTTTTAATGTCACTAGACAGAATCACCCACTCAGAGGTTACTGCTAAGGAAAGGTCCTCCTAACACGTTTCTGAAAGGAGTACATCACTGTCTTGTGGGAGAATGTCTTCCTGCAAATAGTTCTGAGTCTGTGTGTACAGCTGCTCTTTCTTTTATTTATTTTTTTATTTTTTTTCTTCGTGACAGGGTTTCTTTGCATAGCCTTGGCTGTCCTGAACTCGCTCTGTAGACTGGGCTAGCCTCAAACTCATGGAGATCCTCCTGCCTCTGCTGCCTGAGTGCTGGGATTACAGGCATGCACCACTGTGCCCAGCGGACAGCTGTTTTATTTAGGCTTTGTATACTGTTCTTTAGCCAAAGAGCCTTCTGTGTCCCAGAATGCATGAGAATGTCACTTTGCCTTGATGCAGCCTCCCTGGCGTCCTTGCAGGAAGTGTTTGTTTCAGAGTTGAGCCTGTTGTCTAACCTGTCTAACCCTGGCTTTGTTTGAACAGGCACTAAGACAAATGATAACCCCAGAGAAAAGCTTTTGGTTTTCTACTCTCACCTTCCAGACAATCCTGCCACCTTACACAAGGACCTATCTGACAACCTGCACCTCCCAAAGGCTGTTAAGTTTAACTACTGTAACAGTGGTTTTAACAAGTCTGATACTCACTTGTTCATTTCTCTTGTGAAAAGGAGTTTGAGTGAACAGCACCTGGATTATGGCCAGTGTTACGTTGCCACCTTCAGATGCTCTTCTTGGTCTAAGCCAGGGGCTCTACCATCATGTGTACATGTGGCCAGCCGGAAGGGCATCGAGGCAAAGGGCCACCACTTCTCTTTTTAAGAGCAGAAATTTAACCTTGAAAAGGATCTACCAGAGAAGATATTAAAATTCAACAGGGAGGAGGTGCTTGGCTTTGGTTACTTTGTCATTAGGAAACCTAGAGCTTACACACAGTCTCAAGTGCTCCCTCATGCTCATTCTTAGCCTTCAGTCCAGCTATTTGCTCAACACTAGAAATTCCAAGTGCATGTTTCTGACTTTATGACAGATACAGTCTCTTCCTCCCTCTGCATGAACTCTGGAAGCAGTACATCCGTGACCTGTGCAATGGGCTCAAACCAGACACGTGAGTTTTATTTCTGAAGCCTACCAAGGGAGTTGATCCCAAGTCTTGAGTGCACTAGAGAAACCCACTGGTTGTGAGTGCTTGTGATTCTGTTTACATTGTTACTGACTTTCTTTGTGTGTGTGTTCTCTTCACCACCTAGGCAGCCACAAATGATTCAGGCCAAGCTCCTGAAGGCAGATCTTCATGGTGCTATTATTTCAGGTAATTTCTATGAGGGCACATAGTCATCTGGAGACTGCTACTCAGTGGCAGTGAAGTATGTGTTGCAGTATTTAGCCTGGCATCTGTCAGTTGACACGCCTAAAGTAGCTCCAGGTCACAGGCTATGAGGACCTGAGACGGTTGTAACCTGATCTCTTCTAAGGCTCTTGTTAAACACAGACTAAGTGATTGTGTTCTCTGCGTGCAATCTGCTCACACTGTTGTCACATAGCCTCTAGCTGAGACTCTCAGACACAGGTTCCCTCTCATGGTTTCCAAGGTGCTACCACCAGTGCAGACTTTTCCCATGGTTTCCAGACTCATTCACCCCATGGCACCCAACAGCTATATGGACATGCAAGAGGTACCTCAAACTACCTATCCAACACAAGTCCAACCAAGTCTCTGACTTGGTTGCCTCATCTCCGATAATGGCACATCTCTGTACCCAGCTTGTTCAGGCTAGGAACCTAGGAAGTATATGCCATTATGTCTTTTCCTACTCCACTTCAAGGCCATTAACACACCTAGTTCCTGAATCTGACATAACTCCAGCTCTCTTGAGTTGCTGTGGAAGCTTTCTCTCACCCTTGCCCAGCTCACATACTGTTTTATTCCTACATGCGTACCAGATTAAATACACAAAATGAAGGCTGTAGTCAGACAGCAGACTGCTGTTTGCCTGCTTTAGACCTTTAGTAGTGTCCCATCCAGTCAGAGTAAAAATCTTCAGCGTCCTTGGGCTGGCCTCTGTGTGGCTTGTATACGAGGCCCCTTTGCTTGGGTTCTTGTCTCAACCAAGTGGCTCAGCTTCAAGTAACACAGGTCCCTTTCCTGAAGTTACTTCCTGAGAGTCTACCAGCACTTAGGTTACCCCCTCCACCCTCATTACTCTGTTCTTATTTTTCTCGTAGTCATTATCAGTATCAAGAAATAGGATTCCCCATGTTTTGCTATTGTTGTCCCCCATGAGAACTTCAGTTCCACAGGAGGAGAATTCAAGCCATCTCATTCAGTGCCCTGTTCCAGCACACACCTAGCACACTAGGAACATAGTTTTCTCAGGGAATGCTGACTACATGGTGGGAGGGGCCTGCCTGTGAGGTGGCTCACCCGTCACTGCTGAGCAGCTCTATGAAAGGATTACATTCCAGGCAGAGTTCAGGAGGCCCAAGAGTGAATGATGCCCATGGCACTTGCTTCATCAGAGCAACCAGACTGGGCTTTGAAGGTTCTGTGTATGACCTCTTGGCTCCAGAACCCTGCCCAAAACCCAAAGGACACCTAAGAATAAATAGCCCAGAAATTGCAAGGGGTTGGAAAGCCTGGGCACTTGCTGGCTTGGCCACTGTCCTGTGGGCACTTTCTTCCTCAGCTTAGAATGGCCATCGAGGCTTCCAGTCATTGAGGCTTCGTTGTAACTGCCAGCCTTACTCTCAACTGCCTTTCTCCTTTGCAGTCACAAAATCCAAGTGCCCCTCCTACGTGGGGGTCACAGGAATCCTTCTGCAGGAGACAAAGCATGTCTTCAAGATCATCACCAAAGAAGACCACCTGAAAGGTGGGTGCTGTGTTCCCAGGGTGTCAGATGCCACTATGTTTCCCTTCCTTGAGGTTTCCAGGTTTCCCTTGGCTGTGGAATGAAACAGGTTGCAGGTGCTTACTGTGTTATAGAATACAGAGAGAGGCCTCTGTGGCTCTCTCAGACATGTGTGAACACAGTCAACCTGTCCATGAATAGGCAAAAGAATTGCATATGTCTGTCTGTTTGTGATCTCTGCCTGCCAAGGTCACCAGCTCTCAAATGAGTAACTAAAAGATGGTCGGAGGAAACAAAACAGCCTGCCCCTGGAGTTCTGAGTTTTAACATGGTTAACACTGATCCAGAAGGTACTTTTAGATCTTCTGAGATCTCTGTACCTGACCTTGCCCACAAATCCAGAGATTCAAACAACAGTGGGGGGGGGGGGGGGACTTATAATCATCCATTTGTCTGTTGATGCTGGAGATTAAACACAGGTCTTCTGTCTGCTAATACTGCATCCTGCCCCTGACCTACCTGTACAGCCCTGCTTCATTCTTTTCCATTTCCATGTACTAATGGTGAGGAAGTGGTGTAGAAGATTCCCCATTAGTACAAAACTGTATGGGAAATCATCTTTAGTCGCTGGCTGGTCTGGAATCTTTCAGTCCTCAGAGTTGAGTTAATCATCTCAAAACCTGAAATTAGGTGTTGGTTATATTTGGACTAAAGCAGATGGCCCGGGTCTTTCTTGGTACTTCTGTGTTGGGATTCCTCATTCCTATACACTTTTTTAAAGACAGGCTCACTATGTTGCCCTGGCTGGCTTGGAACTTGCTGTGTAGACCTGGCTGGCCTTGGCCTGCTGCCTGGTTTTGTCTCCTAAGTGCTGACATTAAAGGTGTGTGCCGCCACACCCATCTCACTTATTTTAATACAAATGTGTATGAGCAGTGCTCTACATAAAAATGAATTCACTATGTTGTTCCTCATTCTTTTTCCTTCCTCTCTTTTTTTTTTCCTCTCAGTTATTCCCAAGCAAAATTGTGTGTTCACCATAGAAATTGATGACTTCATTTCCTACATTTACGGAAGCAAATTCCAGCTTAGATCAAGTGAGCGGTCTGCCAAGAAGTTCAAAGCAAAGGGAACAATTGACCTGTGAACTCTTTGCCACTGGAGACAGATGTCCCTGGCAGCTGAGAACTGAAAACATCCTACATACCCACTTTTCCATGACGATTCTCTGGCTGTAGCCTGCCTCTAGTCCAGGGAAAGCAGAGTGGCCGAAGAACATTTAATAACATAGAAGGAAGTCAGGGCTGGAAGTTTGCATCCAGGTGACCTTAAGTTAGCTTCAGTTCCACAGGCAGGAAAGACCATCAGAAAATACACCAGGATCAGCCTTAGTTGATCTGAAAAGGGGGCCTTTAGGTTCTGTCTTTCATACTTCTCTGTGTTCGTGAATACTCCATGCTGAATCAGTTATTTAAATAATAATAAAAATACACCACAGGCATAAGTGGGTTCAAGTGAAAGAATCATTCCTGTGCTTATGCTGAGTTGAAAGGGAAGGGGGTATTGTGGCTCCTTCATCCCTTGGCCACCTACTGACGACACCCATTGCATTCACAGTGTGGAACATTATGGATATGACTGGAATGCATCCCTTCTCCAAACTCTGAGCTACCTACACTTTGCTACTCTCACACGCAGAGGCCTGATGAGCCTGCTTAGGGTTTCACTGCAGCAGTCAGAATGAGGCAGAGGTCCAGATCTGCCAGTACCTGTTGGCCACTGTTTGAATACAGGTAGACAGACCTAGCCAGCTTCCTGCTGTGTCCTTGGGGATCCAAGGGTAGGCCAACGTCACCTAAAGGGCCAAAGTCCCCAGCAATGACACCTTTGGGAATCTTAGTTCCTTTCTCTACTGAAATTATTAGTTTTCTACTGCATGTAAGTCCAAATGAGGGTCATTGAAATTGCAGATCAGTGCTAGCATGAGAAATGGGTGGGGTCCAACCATTCTGTGCTGTTACTAAAGAAAGCTTTGTAGTTGAAATCTGGTTCAGGTGGACCCAGTTGCCCTTTACATGTAAGAAGCAAGTGTCTGCTGAACAGCTCAGAAACTCCTGGCAATAAAAAGTATCAACACATGTAACCACTAATATCAGGGAAGTTGTGCTAGTGGCATCACTTCCTTGATGCCCAACTACACTGAGTGAAGAGAAATGAGTGAGAATGACAGAAAAACAGCCTGCTCCCAGATACCAAAGTGCACCTCTAAATACCACAAAGACTATCCGGGCCCTGGTTCTATCTACATCAAGACATTCCTCAAGGCATCCCCAGGTCTGTCTGACCCCATATATCACATAGCCCTTACTAACCTGCTGCAAGGTTCAGATGGGCCTTCGGAGTGAAAGTGAGCACTGTCCAGGGTCTCATGGACTGGGAAAGAAAGGCTAGGATCTGAACAAGATAGCCTGCCTCCAGGGACATGTTCTTCCCAGCAGGAAAGCCACAGGGAGGTGAAAGAGACTGCTAAATAAAGTATATATGTTTCTTCATTTACCTGGCGATCTACCAAGGAACTCTGTTCTGTGTAGAGTGACTGTTGTACTTTCTGACTGAAAGTGAATAGGTACTATGATTTCTGAGCAGACCTGTTCATCACCACCCCTCTGTGATGTAAAAGGCACACTATGTTGCATAAACACAGTTACTTCCCAAAAAACCTGCTGGTGCCATTTGCCAAGTGAAACATTTTTCTCCTGGCCCCAATTCAAGTTTCCATTGTCTAGCTAAAGATGTTTTCTCTCAGGGGAGACAATGTGATGTTCACCTGCCACAGTGTCTGCCCTTTGCCTTGTTTGGGATGTGCAGCTCTTGTCTCCCTAATTTCCCCTGGGACCAAGGTCCACATCTTCCTAGGCACTGGTCCTGATGAAGCTGCACTTGGTACTACATGGAACATGTCTAGCCAGGTCTCCACAGCTCAGGGCTTCCTGAGTACTTGGTACTTGTGACTCTGTCTCCAAGGAGCAGGTCTATGGTAGAGATGAGATTTGGGGTATAGAGTCCCGCATGTGACCACCAGCTAAGTGGAATGTAAACCGTAAACTACAGAAAGTTGGGCATTGAGGGTGCCATAGAAACCAATGGGAAGGGTGGTTGGCACCTCAAGACTCAGGTTGCTGTCAAAGTTAATTTCTGCTAAAGCCTCCTGACTGGTCAACAGCCACCTCTCACTGTCCATATGTTCTATCCTCACAAGAGGGGAGCTGTAGTGTGACTCTTATAATGATACTAGTCTATCAATGAACACCTCCCTCTATGACCCACTATTAGTTGCCTCCTTGATGATCCTATCTCCAAACATAGTCATATGGAAGGTTAGAGCATCAACACAGGAATTTGATGGGGGTTAATGCACTGTGAAATGTTCTTAATTACAAAAAGGTTGGCTAACCTCCCAGAAAGGTGTTAATATCCAGCCTCGACCCCTTCAGGAAACAATGGCCTGGGGTGTTCTGGTGTCTCTTTGGTGTATTATATGCTTGGGCCACCAGCCAGCTCAACCTAACCACTAGCCCAAGCTCCTTTTCTCCTGAATTTTATAGACATTGACTTAAGGCAGCATCCACAGTGTCCAGAGTCCTACAGTTATTAACAGCCAGACTCTTCCCTTGTTCCATGGGACCAGCACAGTATGGCTGGAGATGTGGAGTGATGGGATGACTAATGTCAACCTGACTGGATTGAGAAGTGCTTCAAAAAGTACACTTCTTGGTGTGTCGCTGATGGCTTTCTAGGGAGGACTAACTGAGGTAGATGATCCACTCTACACGCAACAAGTTTCATTCCCTAGAGACAGGAGCTGGATAGAATAAGAGAAAGCTTGCTATAAAACACAGGCATCCTTGCTCTCTCTGCTTCTTGTCTCTCATGTGTTCTGTTCTACTATGTCCTCCCTGCCATGATGGCTGAGGCTATGAGCAAAATAATTCCTCCCAGATGTTTTATCACAGGGGCAAAAAGTCTAACATGTAGGATGGGCAGAGTTGGTCCCTGAGGGGAGCCATGGAACATTAAGAATCTAACCACACCCAGGCTCAGAACCATTGTGAAGAACCAGGAAATCAATACAAGGCCTGGAAAGATCTGCCTAGTGTTCTGCAGCCAACCAGGAGGAGAAGTGGCAAGGGGACAAGTGGCCACCAGTCTCAAACCCATAAGAGATGCCTGAGGTTGCACTCGCCTCACCAGTGACAGGGAAGAAAAAGCAGGAACTTCTACAAACATTGTAAACATGGAGCAGAATACAAAATTCTGATCAGTTCACCAACACCTGGAATTTTTCAGGGTCTCCAAGTTACCATCTGTCAAGAAGGGACCACTTGACTGCTTGAAGGCCTCCCAAGATCAGGCTCCTGGGATTCCTACGCCAGAACAAGCAGAAACAAGTCTTGCAGCAGCTGATCCTACACTGCACTTCAGCCCTACTGCGTTAGACTCCAAGAGTAGGACCCAGATATCTGTGTGTAGAAGAAGTAGCAGCCTACTTCTTCCTCCAGTCACCAATATTTGAGGATGGTACATTCCAGGTGGCATCAAAATCTCTTCCAGCCCTGAGGTCCAATTTGACCACAGATTCTTAGGCCAGGATTTTTCTGGATGCTGAAAAGGATCACCAATTGACCAGTCTCTCAGGTTCTGAAGAATAACATGAAGACTCTTCTCCAAATTCATCAATTATGATAAAAGGCTCGCTTTCTGGACAGTGGCTTTAGCAATAATTTAGTTTGCACTTCTTAGCTATAATGCCTCATTAAGACATCTGTTAAATGTCTATAATATTAATTTAATAGAGGGGCCTCTAATAGAACCGTATCAGAATTGTCCATTTAATTAACCTTATAAGCTTTTAATGGATGTCTTAAATAGATATCATTAACATGAATGCTAGACAAATTAAAATTAGAGTCAATAACATTCTTGGTAGTTTCTCATGAGCTGTGAAGGACAAGTATTACTAAGTAGACAAGCACAGAGATGGACTGCAAAAGAGAAAGTGTTTGAGCAGCAGGAAATCCAGAATGGGCCCAAAATGGGTTCACCATTCTGTGTCCCAGGAGATTTTGACAGAGATGTTTCCTAGCTACCAAGATGGCACCCAGGAGCAAAGGCCTCAGCCTTCTCTCTTTTTTTCCCATCAGGCTAAGCTCCCATTTGTTGAGTAGTATGGAAGGGAAGAAAACTGGGAAGAAGAAGAAAGGAGGCGAGGAAGAAAGAGGAGTATAAAAGAGAGGGAAGGGTCATGACGTTGGACTCTTGACCAAGCATGGTGGGACTAAGATGAGGCAGGTTGGTTGGGATAGTGGGTGGAATGAGATGAGATGTAGGACACTACATTGCTTCTACCTCTACCACACCACTCACCAGCCACTCAAATGATGCCTCCTTGCAAAGCTTAGGGCTCTCTCCCTATATTTATCACATTTGACCTCCCTTCAGTAAGCTTTTAACATGGGTAACCATTCCCCACCCAAGAACTCCTCTTTATTCTAACCATACTAACCTTCGCCACCTTCCTGGCCACTCCTTCTTAGATTTCTTCAGTCAATCTTTATAGCCCAGACATGTAAATGTTGTGTTTCCCTCAGCCCTATCTTTGGACTTCTCTCTCAACTTCCCTCCATGTGTGGTCACAGCCACAATTCCAGGTACATTTAAGGCTTTCAAAATCATACTGTCAACTAGATAGGAGGTATAACTTCACTGTCTTCCTCCCACAGCCCCAGTAGGATTAATAGCTCAGTAAGAAGAAAAAGGCTGTGATTTGGTCATTCTGGATCCCCAATTATCTAGCACAAACTTGACCTGTAGAAGAGGCTCGCTGAGTGTTGGAGTGAAGACATTGCCCTTTGACCTCTCCATGTAAGTACATCTACACCCACCTTGGGGACTTGTCTCATTGTCTCCTAACACAGATACAAGACCCACTTATACCTTGCTTCCTCTCTTATGTCCACAACCCTGTTAAACCTTTCTGGAAGTCCTACTGGGTGTCAGCTTACATAGGAACTCAGGTCTCCACTCCTCCCAGCTCTTGGCATCTCTTGCCCTCATCCTCCCACACAACCCAGTCACAGCCCCAGCTCTCCAATGGCTTCCCTGACTCCATACTTGGCCACATACAGACAAGGTGACCATTAGCACATGACTCAGACTGTGCCATCCTTAAAACCACTAAAACCCACAAGTAATTTCCCACTAACTTGATGTTAAGTTATGCTCCTGACCAGAGTGCCTAAGGCCCTCCCTGATGGCTCCAAGTTCTTAGTCCCCAGTGCCTGCCTTGTCCATTCTAGATCCCTCAAATGAGTCTCTGCTCCACTCTCAGTGTTTGCACTCGAGTTATTTCTTTGCGGGACATTTTTTACTTAGTCCCTCAACCTCATAATCTGCATTTGTCTCTGTTGTACTGGAAGTTTCCCTTATAGCCCAGCCCCATCTTCC